GTTTCGGCTGTCTGCGTCTCGACACTCGGTCGCACGTCAAGTGCACTAGCGAGCGTAGCGCAGAAACTTGGCTCTCCAGCGGCGTCTCCGAAGGTTTTTGTGCAGCTAGTATGTTCACATCAGGAACCTTGCTGAACCACAAGTGGGACACTGCGTTCGCATCAAGACCAAGGATGGCAGGCATGTTGCTAATGCATCAATATACTGATGGTACGGCTCCAACTCTGTAGCGTTTACCGCAATTCCGCTATGCACACTTGTTTTTGGTAAAGAACTTGTTAACGAGTTGCGGAAAACTGGTGCTAGATGGACATATTTAACCAGATCTCCCTAATTCATATAGCTGCCATATATCCGATATGGCTAACTTTCACCGGCTTTCGTATGTTTCACCCTATCAAAAAAGTTTATTATTTTCTGTTATGCAATAAATTTTATTTTCAAAAATAAAGAATTGAATCATTAATATATTTATTTGCATTCATATTTTATTGGTTTAAATCCATACTGAAAATGAAGGAAATTTGTAGATAAGATTAAATAATTTCAGCTATGTTACTTACCGCACTGATACTTAATTTTCTTTTTATTCAAAATGCTCTTCTGCCCAAACAATATCATCTAGCCAAAGATCATCTTGTCCGTCATCCTCCTCATCTGACGAATCTTGTGGGCCTTCATTATCATTGCTTATATTTTTGTATATTGGGGGTGACTGCAAGAGTGCGACTACTGCTGCTGGAATTTTTATACGAATGATGTGTTGTGTGACAATATATCTGCAGCGAAATGCGTCTGCTTTCCTCTGCGTTCTTAGAGAGACTAAATTTGTTAGTGATGGACATATAGGTCTATACATATGGTTTGTTACATTTCAACATGTAACATGCAAAAGGAAGCATCTCCGACCCCATAAAGTATTCTGAGTCAGCATGACGAGAGAAATCGATCTAGACATGTCCGTCCGTCTGGATGAAAGTTGGCATCCAGATTCTCCTAGGTCCGAGAAATGACGAGTTTATTTTATTTTTTGGAATTTCCCCCCCTTCCCCTGCTACAGAATTTCGTCAATAACGTCCACATTTCAAATGCTACCTAAACCAAACATAATTAACATAATTTAATTTAATTTAATTTTAAAAATTTTATCCAATTCGGTCAATTTCAAGAAAAGTTATTAGCGAAACAAATTCGTTTTTGATTTAAATATATTTGCTGCTGCAGCGCTGCTCAAGCGCTGCCCGCTGCTGTTGTTGATGTTGCTGTTTGGTTGACTGCTAACATGTTTACACAGACACGAATAGATGCGCATAGGCATTCATACACTCACACAGACGCAATTGCTATGTAAATGTGAAGTTATACAACATTTACGTGAGTTCGAATACTGAGAAAGGTAAAATCGATCAAAATTGTTTTTTTTAATTTTCTTAATTTTTTTATATTTTTTATATTTTTTTATTTTATTGTAAACATATGTACAGAGTATTTCAAAGTCGGCACATCCGACTTTAGCTTTTTTGACTTTATTTGATTTTCCTTTGTTATGTGTAATTTTCTTACTTGCGAAGGACTCCTTTGTGTGTCATAGTACTCTTTAACATAAACATTTCCTTTGACCCATTGCATATTTTCAATTGCTAAATTTTTCACTTATGTTTGTTCATCTTAAAGCAATTAATCTAATTCATAATTATTAAACATTTCACTTCCAGTCATTTTTACACATTTTACCCACATTCAGTTGCCTACACCCAACACTTAAGCTAGGTACACACGATGCAAACAATTTGCAGCAAGTTAAAAATAACTTGCAGCAAAAGTTTGCACAAATGTTTACACCTATGCAAATATTGCAAGAAAATTTTTTGCTTCAATAAATTTTTGTTTTGCACGCAAACTTTTGCATGGCTATTTCGTGCAATATATTGCGTTAATGTCTACACGTGCTTTCATTTTTTGTTTGCAGTGCTTGCAAGTGACACTCATTTGCAAGTTCTGTTGTTTTGTGAAAGTCAAGGAATAACGACGTGTTTATATCAGCGGTGGGCACGAAATGTTAAATCGGGAGCCTTACAACAACATCTATAACAAAAAGTACCGTTAGATACGTGAAGAATTTAAAACTTTTTTTGTTTCGCCTGATGGTGAAGTGTCATGGCAATATAAACATATATAAAATAAGTAATTACTACGATATGTGCAATAAATTGTACTACTTACTAAATTTTAAATTTTTTAATTATTTCCGTCGTCATTTTTAATAAATTTAAGCGCATCGAAAAACTCCCATTTGCTGGTATAGTTGTCCAATGTACCCTGGCCACTCTTTTTTTTGCTTCACTCTGCGCACCTCTTGAAAAATTGAGTGCGCAAATGATGAATTTTTGTTTTTATTTCATCATCACTTTTGTCTAATTTTTCAGCAATTTCGCGATAATCATGTTATATTTTTATAGTCTGCTGACGATACATTCCATAAAACAGAATTCTCGTACAATTCAATTAATTTTATCGTTTTCTCGCGATCCCACATGTTGTTTTGCTTGCTGCAATATTGCGACTGAAAGCAAACAGCACATGCAAACAAGCAAGCAACTGACGCAACCAAGATAGCGGTAAAATAATGTATACAGACGACAAGCAAAAAATATTGCTGCAAAAAAATGTTGCAAGTTCTTTGTTTGCAGCAAAATGGTTGCACTCGTGTTTATACGTGCAAATTTGATTGCAGTAATCAACTTGCTGCAAATTGTTTGCATCGTGTGTACCTAGCTTAAAGCAACTACTATATAAACCTGCCCCACGTTGTTCTCCTAATTCACAACAACACAGTGCTCAAAATTGTACCTACGTATTTTTCATTACAACTACACATACACACATGCGTCACCGACCTACCCAACTAAAACCGTACATACACAGATCTTTCTCACAAAAGCTTCTGGCATACGCTCGCGAAGGTCGTTCAACTGCGTTACACGCTTGCTACCGGACCACAGCTGGTTAAAATCGGCTCTCATTCAGCCTCTCTTGGGTGCCTTATTTTCTTTCTTTCCTTTCAACATATTGTTGTTTCTTTCTCTCCCCCGTTGGTCACTCAGTATCATTTATTTCTGCTAATAATAAACTTTGCATATTTACTTTTGTTTTTGCAACACGCATAAATAACTTTTTATTGCACAATTTACCCTGTAATTTACTCCTTTCGTTGTTTTCTCTTATCAATCACTTTCTACCGAGCTCAATTAATCATGTCTCAACTCAGCCTGCTCGATTAAAACCTTATAAATTGAACTAAACGATGCGCTGCCCATTGCCCGCTCATATCTTTCCTTTCATACCGAACTTTTCGACTCCGTATGGGGCACCTGTGTCGACCTGTTTTGATACATCTCTTTTTTAACATACATCGAATTATTGAGGACTATGTTTCCGACTTGCATGTTGACTGTGCACAACATGTTTTTTAGTCGCTAACTTTTCCTTCAATTTTTACTTTCATAATTATTAATCAATTGTTTCTATATGTGTAGCTTCAGCTGACTTGTGCTTGTATATGCTGATTGTGTCAGCGATATGATAAAGCGCATTTTGGCCTTAGCCACCAAATTTTCAACTCAAATTCTGGGTATTTTGTGCTTTTAGTTATTAAATGTTGCTAACTATCTATAATCCTACTCTTTTTCTAGTCTTTTCCTTCATGTTTCCTCGCCTATGGGAGAATAACTTTGCACTCGAGCCATGCTTTTGCTACAGCATCTTTTCGGTGTCTTGGAATAATTCGACTCAACTGAGCTTACTTAAGTCTCTCGCGCCTAGTTAAGCTTTAATCTGACTGCTAACGGCATAATTCCACTGGTACACCCAGCATCCAGTATGGTAGCTGCCTGCATGAATTTTACCCTTCAGTCGGGTTATTTGTATTGAATGACATGCATGTGATTTTGCTCCGTATTTATACACCAAGTATTCACAAAAGGAAAATTTTCTACAGAATTAAATCTGTCGTATTTGCTGTGTGGTGCCGCGTCTCTTTTCTCCGGGTGATCTTGCGCGCCTGGTGCTATGTCTCTTTGGTGGGGACCGTGTCTGCCTAGTCGCGGTGCCCGGACGCGTTGGCTGTTTTTCAGCTGCCTGTCCGCGCTGCTGGCCGTTTTGTGTTGGACACGTGTCCCTTTTCTTCTGACACACTGCGCTAGTGTTGGTAGGATTACTTGGTGCGAGTTCGGTACGGACATATACATATGTCTCAATGGATATTCTATTCTATCTAGTAATTGTCCTCTATTTCACTTCTCGTTATTGGTGTGCTGCAATACAGGACTCACGCGCGTTTACATGGAGTTATAGTCTCTACTCTACTTGCCTGCATCAACGTTGTATTTACCTGCTATTGCTCATCTATATTTTGATCATAAATTAATTAGCCCCCACGTTATGGGTACTGCAGCAATCATCCGGCTTGAAATAACTGGAATCGCACCTTCCTCGCTTCACTGTGGGGTGTGCCGCAACGTGGGACTCATCCTCAACCATTACTATATCGAGCCATTTGTTTAAGCGCTAACCTGATTTCAACATAGGAATACTGCTTTTTACATGCACCTGCTATCTCGCATTTATTTACTTACCGTCAACTATGTTTATTCTGGAACTCCAGGAAACTCTAAATATCATTTCATAACTTTATTAATCATATAAATTAATTCCTATTTAATTCAGTGCACATGCACTTAATATAAATCACACATCAAATTTAATTACATTCTATTCATATTATACAAGTATAACCTTTATTTAACCCATCACTCCAATCGACTTTTTATTTTTCATCAATTATACATTTTTTAAAATTCCAATTTATAAATGAATTCAAACATAACACACATATAATTCCTAATCTATTTCATTTTGAATATTAAAATTACTCAAATTAATTACACATTCATAAATACATTAAATATAAATCCTCTGGATCTACTATATAATCACCCGGCTCACGCATCGTCACCAGCAATTTATCTTCGTTTTTCTGCAAAGTGGTACTGCATATTTCGCCTCCAAATGGTTGTCTGTCTTCAAGCTGTCCACTGCCCTATTTGGATTCCACATTTTGTCTTCGTCCCCAGAACGCACCTATCTGTATGAGCGTGTCCATCTGTTTACAAACCTTCAAAGTTTTCACAATTAATATAACGAATAATGTCAATCATACATTCCTAAATTAATAATGCAACTATATCTATATATATAAAACAGTTTGTCCTGACTGACTGACTGACTGACTGATTGGTGATCAACGCACAGCCCAAACGGTAAAGGCTAGGAAGCTGAAATTTGGACTCAAGTATCCTTTCATAGTCTAGGTGCCCACTAAGAAGGGATTTTGGAAAACTCGAGCTCCAAAGGGGGGAAAACAGGCTCCAAAGTTTGTTTGAAAAATCCGCATTTTTTAGCCGATCGACATAAAACTTGGTTTCTGAAATCAATAAAAGAATACAAAGAAAACTGCATACTCGGTTTTTAAATTTTTTGTTGGAGCTTGAATTATTGGGGTTTTCTTGGGGCACAAAAGGAAACCGCGTCAACAGCCCACACGGTAAAAGCTAGGATGCTGAAATTTGGGCTCAAGTATCCTATCATGGTGTAGATGCGCACTAAGAAGATCGACTTAAAACTTAGTTTCTAAAATCAATTAAAGAATACAAACAAAACCGCTTACTTAGATTTGTGTTCGAGCTTGAATTATTGGGGTTTTAATATTTATTCACTATTTTAAATGAAAAGTTTTTGGGTAATGTAATCTACGTAACTAAATCTACAACTTTGCATTCAAGGATTTTCAAAATATGCGTTTTACAAAAGCAGGCAGAACAAACAATACAAAATATCAAACAGTTGGGGACAACTAAGTATACATACACACACGCACACACACACACACACACACATACACACACACACACACACACACACACACACACACATACAATCAGCTGTTCGTGTAGTTGCGTGCAAACGATTGAAATAGCCAAAGCAAAATGTGAGACACTAATGTGTGAATGTCCATACATACGTATATGCACATCTATGTATGTACATACATATGTATGTATGTATGTATGTATGTACATTCGTCTTGCAGTGACAGCGCAAGAAATGTTAATTAATTGAAAATTATATAACATTTTTAAAAGTAATTTTTTCTTTGTTTAGTGCATTTGGCATTAGGGTTTTCATTAATAACTTTATGCAGCAACAACAAATATCAAATAGTTGGGGACATCACATACACACACTCACACACAACAAGCAACAGTTCGTGTCTATGTGTGCGGTTCTCTACGTACGGTTGAAAAAGTAAAGAGAAACATACATATGTATGCCTGTGTATGAATACAGCATGTATGTACATTCGTATTAATGTATACATTGGGCAATCGAACACAGTTGTTTGATTGTAAAAAAATAATGCTCTAAAAACAACAACAACTGCAGGTCATTAGCTCGCTCTTCTTCTTTCGTTTTGACCATTTAATGTTAATTGCAAAGGCAAAACGCCAAAAGTTTACAGTTACCGTCGCTAGGCGCTAGACTGCGTAAGCGATAGTAAAGCAGAAACCGAATAACGGAGCTACGCATATTCTGCTTCGCATTGCGGGCAGATGTATGTATGTATATGATTTGTTCTTATTGATCTCAATAAATAATTAGATTTTATTATTTAAATATTCTGCTTATTGCATTCAAACTTCGATATTTTGATGGTATCGGTGGCTTCAACTATCGAAAGTTTTACTCTAGCAAATTGAGATGAGAATTGTCAGTGCTTTTAGATCGTGGCTCATCGCTGCACGGCATTGACACGAGTGCCGTGTTTCATATTCCGAGTTTGTGCGTGACCGTATTGACTCAATATGGCACGAAAAGACTCAAATGTGAATTTAAAATTAGAATATACACTTATAATTATTCCCCTTTTTTGCACATAGTCTATCTAAAAGCGTTATCTCTATATATAAAACAGTTTGTCCTGACTAATTGGTGATCAACGCACAGCCCAAACGGTAAAAGATGAAATTTGAACTCAAGTATCCTTTCATAGTATCCATCATAGTGTAGGAGCACACTAAGAAAGGCTTTTGGAAAATTCTAGCTCCAAAGGGGGGAAACGAGCTTTAAACAAGATAGAACGCTACAGTCGAGCAAGCCCGACAGTAAAATAGCCTGTACTCTCCACAAAAAAGAAAAATTAAAAAAAAAATTAAATTATTAAAAAAAATGAATGAATTAATTAATTAATTAAATTAAATTAGAATACATGTTTATGTTCAGTTTTAACAGCACACATTTACATCACGTACCTATGCGTGTTTATATGCGTGTATGTATGCAGCACAAAGTTGAACCAAAGCAGCAACAACAACAACAGCTGCGGGCAGCGCTGCCGACAGAGCTGCAGGCAGCGCAGGAGCAGCGATTTTACTTATGGCTATAACTTTCTTCAGAATTGGCCTATCATGATGAAATTTGGCACGGACACATTAGTACTAACTGGATGTACCTACCAAAATTGATTTCAAAATTCCGAGAATTACGGAAGTTATAAGAAAAAACACGAATTGCGGGGGAGTGGGGGGGTGCATCGAAAAAAAACTCAAACTCGTACTTTCTCGGTCTTAGGAGAATATGGAAACCAAGTTTGGTTATTCTAGCTCTTATACTTTCTGAGATCCTTGCGTTCACACGGACAGACAGACGGACAGACGGACGGACGGACATGGCTATATCGACTCGGCTTCTCATCCTGATCAAGAATATATATACTTTGTGGGGTCTGCCACGCCTCCTTCTGTGTGTTACATACATGCGCACAAAACTAGTATAGCCTTTCACCCTTTGGGTACAGGCTATAAAAATAGTTTGGCAAGAACAAAAATGTAACGGACTACTGAACAATTTTTATACTCTGTACATGAAATGTACAAGAGTATATTAGGTTTGCGGGAGCTGAAAAATGTAACAGGCAGAAGGAGGCGTGGCAGACCCCACAAAGTATATATATTCTTGATCAGCGTGACAAGACGAGTCGATTTAGCCCGTCCGTATGAACACCTGGATCTCAGAGACTATAAGAGATAGAGACACCAAATTTTGCACGAAGATGCGTTATGTGTGTATTCTATACGAGTTTGTTTTATTTTTTTGATTTTTTCCCCCCCCACTTCCCCCCTATGGGGGTTTTTGCCGATTTTCCATTCGTATAATCGCCTATATCTCGGAGACCATAAGACCTAGGAACACCAAATTTTAGTCCAAGGTGCCTTGTGTGAATACGCAGAAAATGTATATTTTGGAATTTCCCTCACTCCTCCCTCTCCCCCGCAAATGCGATTTTCTCTAACTCCCGTAATTCTTGGAATTTCGAACTAAAATTTTGCAAATACCCCCAGTTGGTAATTATGTGTCCGTATGCCGTATAGTTTCACTATGATAGACCGATTTACCAAGAAGTTATAGCCATAAATATATTTGCTGCTGCAGCGCTGCTCAAGAGCTGCCCGCGGCTGTTGTTGATGTTGATGTTTGGTTGACTGCGAAAATGCTTACACAGATACGAATAGATGCGCATAGGCATACATACACTCACACAGACGCAATTGCTATGTAAATGTGCAATTATACACCCTTTACGTGAGTTCGAATACCGAGAGAGGTAAAATCGATCCAATTTTTTTTTTTTCTATAATTATTGTAAACATATGTACAGAGTATTTCAAAGTCGGGACACCCGATTTTAGCTTTTTTACTTGTTTGTCAAGAACATGTTCATTTAAATACCTCAAATGCCTTCCTACTGGTAACTTATAAGGTGAAAACATATGGGTAGGTTATGCACACACAAAATAAATACAATTGGAAACATTATATTGAGCCGGGTTAAGACGGGCAATACCTGCTAGTGTATGTATATTATTTCAACAAAACAAATTATGACTTCACAAAATAAAACTTAAACCATATAAAAATAAGATAGAACGCTACAGTCGAGCAAGCCCGACAGTGTAATACCCTGTACCCAGACAAACTTCCGTCACTGAGTTATATGCGCCCATAGCAGCAGCAAAAAGAGGAAGAAGAAGAGCTAACTTGTTGCTGCAGTTTGGGGGGGTTGTACTGACGAGAATTTGTTTCGCTAATAACTTTTCTTAGAATTGACCGAATTGAATAAAACTTTATACAACAGTAGACAATTATATATAAATTATGTGTGAAAAGTTTGGTTTAGGTAGCATTTGAAATGTAGACGCTATTGACGAAATTCTGTAGCGGGGGAAGGGGGGGAAAATTCCAAAAAATAAACTCGTCCTTACTCAGACCTAGGAGAATCTGGATGCCAACTTTGGTTATTCTAGCTTTTATAGTTTCTGAGATCCTTGCGTTCATCCAGACAGACGGACAGACGGACGGACATGTCTAGATCGATTTCTCTCGTCATGCTGATCAAGAATATATATACTTTATGGGGTCGGAGATGCTTCCTTCTGTATGTTACATACTTTGCACAAACCTAATATATCCTTCTTACCCTATGGGTACAGGGTATAAAAATTGTAAAAAAAATTAAATTATTAAAAAAAATGAATGAATTAATTAAATTAAATTAGAATACATGTTTATGTTCAGTTTTAACAGCTTACATTTACATCACATACCTATGCGTGTTTATATGCGTGTATGTATGCAGCACAAAGTTGAACCAAAGCAGCAACAACAACAACAGCTGCGGGCATCGCTGCCGACAGCTACCAATTTTGGTTATCCTAGCTCTTGTACTTACTGAGATCCTTGCGCTCATACAGACAGACGGACAGACAGACAGACAGACAGGCGGACATGGCTATATCGACTCGTCTTCTCATCCTGATCAAGAATATATATACTTTGTGGGGTCTGCCACGCCTCCTTCTGTGTGTTACATACATGCGCACAAAACTAGTATAGCCTTTCACCCTTTGGGTACAGGCTATAAAAATTGAGCGGTGCGCGGCGACTGTCGAATATAAAGGCCGACGATAAACTGACGCCTATTCCAGCAGTATGACTGCGTCGGTGCAGAGCTTTTCGGGGGGTAAGCTGCACTTGTTCTAAGACTTCTATGGTGCTTAA